AAGTATTTACTAGTAAAACAACTTTATCATTTGAAAGATTTTCCGAGTAAAATGACAGCATTTATGTTATTTTTAATTTAGTTTAAAACCCCCATTATTAAATTGTATTAGAATGTTTAGGAATATATTTTTTTTTTCTCTTTTGTGAATTGAATAAACATACAATTTAATCCAGCTAACCTTCCTTAGAGAACGACTCGAGTCGGGTAACTCGGTTATTACTTGCCCAAAAATATTACAAACACATATCATGAGCATGACTTAAGCAAAACTGATCTAACATGACTTTAGCAACATCAAGCAAAGGTGAACCGAGGTTACCTCTTCGAACGCTCGGCTATAACTACACCAACTCTCGTGACCGATCGGATGTTGTGCCTCCGTGCACACTCGTAGGCTCTCCGCGTGCTTGCGACTAGGCTATCTGCGTGCGGTACCTCAAACTCAAGAAAATCTCACTATCTCTCTATACTTAGTATTATTTAGGAACATTCAGGGTGGCTAAATTCTCCCCATTTCCTTGCTATATATATGATGGCCGAAAACATGAAGAGGTGAGAAAATTGTTGGCTAAACCTTCTTGCACCACTTGTCAACATTAGAGGCTTATGGTGTTTACTCATCCACTAAAATAGCTTAGTCACCCACTAGGACTTAACAATTTGACACCTCAAGCATTAAAAAGGGAAACAAATCTCCCTTAAATGCCCACTAAAAAAACTTACGGCTTTTTCATGAAAAAAAATGACAATAACTAAGCATATATGAACTTAATTACACAACTATTGTGCTTAATTAATTAGCTAAGCTGACACTTAATTATCGAAATTATTCTGAACGTAAACGTGACGTCGAAATTAATTTCGGATAATCTCGACTGAAATAATTAATTTCGAAAAATAATAATCGACAATATTATTATATCAGAACTAAACACATGATTATATTAATAACATGACGGGATATTACAATCCTCCCCCCTTAAAAATTTTCGTCCTCGGAAATTCAAAATGGAACTGTATATACATGAACATAAGGAATATATACATCAAAATGAAAATCGGGAAAACGAGCGCGAATATCAGCCTCCTGCTCCCAAGTGGCTCCGTGGCGATCCCACTGAATACGAACGAGAGGGACATCTCGCTTCCGGAGCCGACGAACCTGAGGATCCAATACAACTATCAGTCGCTCCTCGTAAGATAGATCTGGCTGAATCTGAATGTCAGTATGAGGAATGACATGATCAGGGTCGCACACGTACTTATGTAACATGGATGTATGAAAAACGTTATGAAAACCGGATAACTCGGGAGGTAAGGCCAATCGATACGCAACTTCGCCCACTCGCTCAAGAACTTCGAACGGGCCAATTAATTGAGGGTGCAGCTTCCCTCTCTTCCCGAATCGAACAACTTCGAGAAATGGACGAATTCTGAGAAAAGCTGGCTCGCCAACCTCGAACTGAATATCTCGTCGATGCTGATCGGATGAGGATTTTTGTCGACTCTGAGCTGTCTTGAGTCTCTGCCGAATCAACTCGACCTGATCTACGGTTTCCTCGATCATCTTCAGACCGAGTACTCGACGCTCGCCGACGTCCTCCCAATAAAGAAGGGAACGACACTTATGACCGTAAAGTGCCTCGTAAGGAGCCATCTGAATAGAAGAATGATAACTGTTGTTGTATGCAAACTCAACGTAAGGCAACAACGACTCCCACTTAGCACCCATATCAACAACCAAAGCTCGTAACATATCCTCTAATGTCTGAATGGTCTGCTCGGATTGACCATCAGTCTCCGGATGGTAGGCTGGACTGAAATCTAGCTTCGTACCCATCGCCTCGTGTAAACTCTGCCAGAATCTACTGATGAATCTGGGATCTCTGTCTGACACGATAGTAACAGGTACTCCGTGGAGTCGAACGATCCCACAGGTATAAATCTCAGCTAACTTATCCAAAGACATCTTCATCGAGACTGGTAAGAAATGAGCGACCTTAGTCAATCTGTCGACCACGACCCAAATAGCATCATGATGTTCAGACGACCTCGGTAACCCCGTGACGAAGTCCATCGTGACTTCCTCCCACTTCCACTTCAAAATCGGTAGTGGTTGCAGGAGGCCTATCGGACTCTTATGTTCGGCTTTGACTTGCTGACAGGTAAAACATCTCTTGAAAAAATCGGCAACGTCCTTTTTCATCCCTCGCCACCAAAACGACCCTTTCAGGTCATGATACATCTTCGTGCTTCCGGGATGGGCTAGATAGGGTGCGGTATGAGCCTATGTCAATATCTCCTTCCATAACGCCTCGCCTTTTGGCACCACAATCCTGCCTCGGAACTCCAAGGCACCATCGGTACCTCGCTGAAACCCTCGACGCCTCTGGCGCGGACTTTGGCATCAACGAACGAACTCGTCGGAAGCCTGCTCCCGCCGGATTCTCTCCCCCAGCATCGGCTGAATCTGCATGGAACTGACACTCCCCGAAATGGCTGTGGGAAGTGCATCGACTATCTGAATCTGCATCCAGGCGAACTCCTGAATCAACCGGCTCTGCTGAGTAACGATGTACGTCAAGTCACCCCTCACCTTACGGCTTAGGGCATCAGCAACGAAGTTCGCCTTTCCCGGATGATACTGAATCGAGCAATCGTAATCCTTGACGAGCTCTAGCCAACGGCGCTGTCTCATGTTGAGCTCCTTCTGAGTGAAAATATACTGCAAGCTCTTATGATATGTGAAAATCTTGCATCGACCGCCGTATAGATAATGTCGCCAAATCTTGAGAGCATGAACAACTGCAGCTAACTCCAAGTCGTGTGTCGGATAATTCTGTTCATGTGGCTTGAGCTAACGTGAAGCGTAAGCAACGACTTGGCCATCCTGCATGAGTACGCATCCCAAACCCTGTTTCGAAGCATCACTGAAAATGGTGAAACTCCGAGAAGGATCGGGAATAGTCAACACCGGTGCTGAAGTTAACCTCTTCTTGAGCTCCTGAAAGCTCGACTCACATCGGTCAGTCCACTCGAATTTCACAGACTTCCTCGTCAGCTGGGATAAAGGGAGGGCGATTTTGGAAAAGCCCTCAATAAATCTGCGGTAATAGCCAGCTAAACAGAGAAAACTGCGAACCTCGGACGGACTCTTCGGTGTCGACCAGTTCTGAACAACTGAGACCTTGGAAGGATCTACCCCAATACTTGCCTGAGTAATGACATGGCCAAGAAAGGCTACTCGCTGGAGCCAGAATTCGCATTTGGAGAATTTTGCATATAACTTTTGTCATCTGAGGGTTTCGAGAACAACCCTCAGATGCTCCTCGTGCTCCTTCTGGCTCTTGGAGTAGATAAGAATATCGTCAATGAAAACAATAACGAAATGATCGAGGTAGGGATGGAAAATACGATTCATTAGGTCCATGAAAACCGCTGGAGCATTACTGAGGCCAAATGACATGACGACAAACTCATAATGGCCGTAACGAGTACGAAAAGCGGTCTTAGCAATATCTGACTCCTTTATTTTCAGCTGATGATAGCCTGATCGTAAATCAATCTTAGAGAAAACACAGGCTCCCCACAGCTGATCAAATAAATCGTCGATCTTGGGAAGCGGATACTTATTCTTGATCGTCAACCGGTTAAGATCCCGGTAGTCGATACACATGCGCATAGAACCGTCCTTCTTCTTGACAAACAGAACGGGTGCTCCCCAAGGTGAAACGCTCGGCCGGATAAAACCGAGTCTTAATAACTCCTGAATTTACGCCTTAAGCTCCTGCAACTCCTTCGGCGCCATACGATACGGGGCTTTGGATACTGGGTCGGCTCCTGGAATGAGATCGATAGAGAACTCTACCTACCGGTTAGGCGGTCCTCCTGGAAGTTCGTCTGGAAACACGTCCACAAACTCACGAACGACTGGAATGTCGTAAGGTGTTCGTGCTTTCTGAGAATCATCGACAAGGCTCACAAGATAACCCTGACAGTTGCCTCGTCGCAGCATCTTGGTGGCTTTCGCCATCGAAACGACATAAGGCAAAGAACGATTCTTGGTGCCAAAGAAGGTAATCAAATCGTCTCCCGGAAGATAAAGAGTAATCTCCCGGTCAGTGCATCGAATGTCTGCATGATAATAGGATAGCCAATCCATACCGAGAATGAGGTCAAAATCCCTCATCTCGAGAACATAAGCGTCGGTAGGCAATATGCGACCACCGATGGAAAGGCTGAGATCTAAAGCTTTAGCAGTGGTCACTATCTTTCGTCCCGAGGCTAAACTCACCTCGAGAGAATCGACAATGGTAACAACATGTACTCTAATGGCATCAAGACATCGTCGTGATATAAAAGAATGTGACGCTCCAGTATTAAACAGGGCGAAAACAGAAACATCATTAAGTATAAGCATCCCTGACATGGTACCTGGTTGCTGCTCTACCTCGGCCTGATCAATTGCATAGACTCGGGCCTACTGTCTGCCCCTCTGCTGCTGCTGCTGGGGCGGCCTCTGAGCCTGCTGTCGGGGTTGCTGCTGCTGTGGCTGCTGAGGCTGCTGTGGAGGCTGATGTGCCTTCTTCGGACAGCAGTTAGCAAAATGTCTGGGCTCGTGACAGTAGTAACATATATCCTGGCCAAAGCGACACTCTCCGCGGTGAAGTCGTCCGCAAGTGGGGCACGGTAGAATCTGTTGTTGCCTCTGGCGGGTCTTCCTGTCGGTCTGGGCGCCCTTCCCCTTCCTCTTCTTCTCCTTAGACGGTTGGGCAGCTGGTGGAACTGGTGGAGCTGTGGATGACTGGCAGGGGCAGATGGTTGGGAATGGTCGTGGCTTGCCTCCCTCCAAATGCTAGCGTCCACCTCTAGGGCAATCGAAACAGCACGAGCATAGGTCTGGGTCCCGTGACCTACAATGTTGTGACGGACTGCTGGGTAAAGCCCGTCGATGAAGCACTGTGCCCTTTGTGCCTTCGTACGCATCAAGTCCAGAACAAAAGCTGCAAGTCTGGTAAACTCCCTCTCGTACTCATCAACAGAACGAGTACCCTGCTTGAGCGACAAAAACTGACGCTCCATCTCGGCTCGGTAGTACGTGGGATAATACTTCTCACGGATTAACTCCTTGAGCCTCTCCCAGGTACAACCTTCTTTCTCGCCGGGACGCATACTCCAGTAGGCATTCCACCAGAGTCGAGCATCACCGGTCAGCTGAAGCTGTGCGCAAGTAACGCGATAGCGATCTGAACAGTCCATGACCTCGAAAATCAATTCAAGGCCCTGAATCCACTCGTCCACAATACGAGGATCCCCCTGACCTGAGAATTTCTCCGGATGATAGTCGCGGAACTGTGCGACTACTGTGGCCTGGGGAATAATCGGATGATCGGGTTCCCTATGGGGCGGCATCTGATCATTGAAAAAGTTCAGCATTATTGAACACATGAAAAATACTCTAACTGATTACTAGAGTACACAGATCTCTTGACGAGTTGCCAAATATGGCTGGAAAATACTGACATTATTCCTGAGGAAACTAGAGTTAAATCTGAATATATTCTGAACTATATGTCCTGAACCTGATTCGAGCATCTTAACTAAGTCATGATTAATAAATTTCTGAACATAGACAAAGTAATTTGTTTATAACTTAAAACATAAATCAGCACTTACCTGTAGTCGGCGAGGCGTGAGCGTGACGGTTCAGGTTTTTGAAAATTTTCTGACTCATAAAAAACTTTCAGAGACGCAGAAACGTGCTCTGATACCAATTGTAACTTCCGCTATTTCATGAAGATCAGAGCGCGTTTTTCACAAAATTTTTCTAAATAAAAATATTTATTTTGCGAAATACTGATTCAGAGTGCTACCGTAAAATCTGACTTTATCTGAAAACCGTTATTTTAGTTTAACAACAAAACGGTTATATAACATAATAACCGCCTAACGTCGGATCAAAAGCTGGTTTCCTAAACTGAAACAGTAGCGGAAATCATAGTGTAGCCAAAACATGATTATACATATATACAAATGTCCTGAACCGGTCGCCAGCTCACTCTTCGGCTCCGACTCTGAGACCTGAAAAACATGAATAATGTGGGGGCGTGAGCACTAATCCACTGTGCTCCGCAGAAACTCATATTAAAGTAAACAGTGAAAATAACAACAGTATTATGATCCTGGCATATATAACTGAACTGATACTGAACTGAAACTGAAACCGGTACAGAATAATCTCTGATACTGATGTCGTGATAATCATCACCTGACTGATAACTGAACATCTGTCAGCACAAAAATGTCGGACACCATGTGCACACTATAGTGGGCAGACTAAGGCCACTAGAACCCAGAATGGACCGGCGACCATTCCGAGCGGATACTGATAATACATATCTCAAACATGGTAGCGTAATTATAATCAATGTAATACCCAGTCTGAGTCCCCACCTGATCCTTTGAAAATGAAAGGCAGTGCTGATATCTGATATCTGATCAAACTGAAATATAATATAAACAATTACTAAGTACTATGCTCAGACTTATAAAAATAGCTGTTTAATTTGTTAAGATGCTCTACTGGACTTAACATGATATTTGGATTTAATCGGTATAACTGGAACTGGTTAAATACATAACTGAACTGACATAAATTTATTGAACTGAACTGGACCCGAAATTTTAACTGAAAATGAGACTTGAATATAAACCAGGACTAAAAACATGAAAATATGGTCTGAATTGGTCCAACTGGTCTGAACCGGTCTGCCCGGACCGCTGGCCTGCTCTGGCCGGGCGGTCGGCCGCTGGCTCGGCCAACGGGCCTGCCAAGG